AAGAAAATAGGTAACTTGAATTTTTTGTGATTGAGTGATGATGATTGTTGACCTGAATTATGTTGGAAATGTTGGAATGTATTTTAGAAATATTGCCTTGTGGAAAATTTTTTGAAATTCGGGTTTGCTGGCAAGGAGTTTCGTCCAATTATAAAGAGAAAGTCTATCAAAAATTTTCCAAAACCTTACTATGACCCAAAAAGTTTGAGAAATGTTAACAAAATTTTAATTTGAAGTAGTCAACTCCCCTACTTGTTGGATTAGTAATTTTCTTTTGAATGATTCATTTCCCATGTGATTTGTAATTAGCTATTAGGTGGTAAGGATTTTACATTTTAGAAAGTAGATTTAGTAAAGTAGGGAGAATTATGTTTGCATTTGCATGTTTACTGAGATTTCTTCCTTTTACTTAAATTTACAATTAAGTGATTGATATACTTAACTAAGTGATACTCTTCCTACTATATATTGCTTTAAGAGGGATAGTATATCTCGTAAGAAAAAGAGACAGAAAAGAATATAAAAAAGGAGAAAAAAGAAAAAATTAAAATAAGAGTTTTACTCCAATGATTCTTATACCGAGTAATCGAGAGTTTTCATTTAAAAATATCAATTTTCGCATGAAAAGGAACTTCAATTAGGAGTAGTTGAGTGACTTGAATATGGAAGTATTGAGTATCAGGGGTCCTCACATAAAAATATCGATCTTCGCATCAAATGACACTTTCATACTTAAGTATTTGTTGATAGTTTGTGTGAATAATTCCCTATTTAAGCTTATGATTTGAGAAAAAGATTATTATAGGAAAGTGTTAGCTATCTTTTGACTGTATGAGTAGCTTACTTGTGGAGTTACGTAAGGTAAGAAAAATTGAGCATAGTTAAATTTGAGTATGATTGTCTCGCCTTTACTAAATATTACGAGTATTTAGTGTAATTTGAATGATTGCATAATGGTTAATTACTGAGTTATGGGATTTGAATTTGAAAAAGTGTGTTATTTGGCTAAGCACTTGGATCAGTGGTCGTGTAGTTATTGATATTGTTTGAGCACAAGTAACGATTTCAAGTATGGGGAAGTTGACAAGGGCTAATTTTATGATCTTTTGAAGGTGTTTTATATTATTTTTTAGTCAATTTGTAAGGTTAATTGGTATAAGTTGTTCACTTTTGTCTTTAATTTGCACCTTAAGTTGATAGATGAATTAGTTGTGATCTTGTCATTTTATTTGTAAAATCTCTTTGTTTTTGTAGGGAAAATGATTCAATTGGAAGTGAAATGGTGAACTAACAAAGTGAGGATTAAAAACTTGAGAAGTCACAACAATGTTTAAAGGCGGTGGTGCAGTTCAAGGATGAAGAATGGAAAGCTTAAAAGAAACAGAGAGAAAACCTCAAGGGTTTCTCAGTGGATTTTGCAGGGCATTATGGGCAGAATGTTAATGTCAAAGAGAAAAAACAGAGAATCACATGCAAGGGAATCTTCACAATCCCCCCACAGGTTCTCAACGAACCCTCAAGGGATTGGTCGTAGCCGCAAGTTGCCAACTCGCATGATTTGTGTTTCTTACTCCATCTTTGACAAGACATAAACGGACGACTCATACCAACTTTTAGGGCATCTACGAGCTTCTTTTCTTGACTCTTAGTAAGAAAAAACTCATTATTGGAGAGAGAGAGAGAGATCAGATCTTGGCTAGAAAGAAAACTTTTGCTTTTCTTTCTTCTCTAGCTTAGTTTAGTGTAGTTTTAGATCTAATTTTTATTTTCCCTTGGAGAACTTGAAGAACTCTTGGTGTAACAATGTATTTTTTATGGCAATGAAGATGATGAAGCTTGGAGAACGAGTTTCTTCACTTGAATGAGTATTTCTTCCTCTTCGCTCTCTTTTTTTTTTTTTTTTTGGCTAACCCCGTTCACAAGGAGGGATGCCACCCCCAAATATTATTAAGACCGGAAAAAGTAAAAACGAAGAGGGAATTAAACCCAACCTCCAGTGAATACATCAAAGCAATCCTCACGGCTATCGACTAAATTTTCGATGAATAGAGGGAGTTCCTGATCTATCCAACATAACCACACCTTGCACTAACCTTGGTAACTCCGAGCATGAATTATAGATAGCAATCGAGGATAATTGCGCCCCAACTTTCGACTAAACATCCGTAACCTGATTAGCTTCCCTATAGCAATGAGCAACCGTCCCAAAACAACCTCTCTTCTCCTTTAGAGCTTCTATATCCGACCTAACAAACCAAGGACAATCACATCTGCCTTGGACGACATAAACTAGAACAAGCGAATCAACCTCCACCTGAATAGGAGAGTAGCCCCATTGAAGACACTACTCCACCCCAAAAAGAACTTTCACCTCAACTTGAAAACTTGTAAGCAAACCTAATGGAATAGAAAAAGTAAAAAGTAAGCCACCCTACGAATCTCTCAAAACAACCCTACCACCACTTGCACCTGGATTTCCCAAGGAACGACCGTTCGTATTTAACTTATAATGCCCTTGCAAAGGTTTCTCCCAAACCACTAATCTATAGGAACAACAAGCTTTCCAAGAAGCAGCATTAGAGTAAAAAGTCTCCCATGAAACACAATCCACTACCTCCTACCTAAATTTTCCAGACACCATCCCCACCAAATCCAGAAAGATGCTATAACAAATGGACTGCACACAGAGGCACCGCCCTTCAAAAACCGCACAATTTCGGGCCTTCCAAATATTCCAGCATATTAGGCTTGGAAAAAGTCCAAAAAGAAGATCCAAACATCCATTGCACCTTGGTTGATACCACCACTCGGACAATCAAGAATGGACACCAGTCCCTCTATAAGATATACCAGCCACATTCCCAAAGATTATCCACATGCGCCTAGCTAAGTCTCCCTCAGAGAACACATGATCGACAAACTTTGTTCAGGGCTGCGCACAGTAAAAGCATTTTGGGGGACCATGAATACTAAGCCTACACAATGAATTTGCCAACGGCAGCCAATCCTGCAAAAACCTCACCATAAAAAAGGATATTTTTATAGGGATAACACTATTCCAGACCTCAGAGAACATAAACGAAGAACACTCCTGAGCCCGAATCACCTGGTAAGAAGAAGAAACCGAGAACCTTCCAAACTCAGTTAAACACCAAATAGCATAATCATTTCCCTCTAGAGCAGGTGCTGACTTGCCCAAAATCTCAGAGGCAATAAAATCCGGAACCCACTGGACTATCAATTGTCGATCCCAATGCCCATTCAGAAGAAAATTCTGAGCTAAGTGATCCGAAACACTTTCTAACCATTGACATAAAGGGACAAACCCTAGCCAATTATCGAACCAGAAATTACACTGTCCTAATCGCAACAACCAGCAAATATGATTCTCGACAAGCTCCCTAACCTGAACCATTCATCTCCAGGAATATGAACTGGTTCGAGTTACTCCTACCATACATGGATGATTTGACTGGCAGTATTTGGCCTTCATAAAATCAGACCATAAACAATCACTCATCCGAAATCGCCACCATAACTTCATTGAGAATGCCGTGAAAACCTCCACCATTGAATCGACCCCTATTCCTCCCTGTGTCGTCAAAGAACATAGGTCCTGCCACTTGATCCAGTGATATCTAAGGCCATCTTCCCTTTCCCTCCAAAGGAAATTTGCCATCATCTGCTCAACCATCGATAAAATTCCCTTCGAAGGGCATGATTCGGCTAGCAGATGGATAGGTATAGATGCCAAAATATGTTTGATCAAAGTAATCCTTCCCTTAAAAGATAGGAACCGGTTCCTCCACGACGTCACTTTATTACTCACAGCCTGTATCAACTCCATGAAGTAAACTGTCTTGCATCTCCCACAAAATAGCGGATACCCCAGGTATCGGACAGGAAAAGATCTATGAGTAAAACCAGTAATTCGCTGCACGCTAGCTTTATGACATGACGAAAGCTTCTCATGCACCAAAAAACTGAATTTCTGCACTTTGATCCTTCGGCTAGTTGCCCCCTCATAAGCCCCAAGCGTCTGAATAATCAACTCCAAGGACGAAGGATCCACACTTGAAAATATCACAATATCATCAGCATAACTAAGGTGTGTAATCCTTGGACAACCCCGTGGGAAACAAAGGCTTATCCAACAAGCTATTTAATGAGTGAAACAACACCCCAGCCCAATTATAAAGAGAGTTGGGGACAGAAGGTCTCCTTGCCGAAGCCCCTAGTAAACTTGAAAAAGCCAATGCCTGCCCCATTAACAATCACAGAAAACCACGAACTCGACACCAACCTCCAAACTAGGGGTGGCAATCGGGTCAAGTTCGAGTTGGCGGGTCGGATTGAGGCCCAAGTATAACAAAAAAACCCACTGATCTGAACTTGACCCGTCAACTCGAAACGGGTCAGGATACCTGACACGAATTCGAAAATTTCGGGTTGACAGGTCGACCCGAAATGACCCGAAACTTAATTTTAATTTATTAATTTATCACTTAATTTCTAATAAAATCAATTTCTTACAAAATTAATTACATCATCAAGTAATAAAAATTTAAATAAATAATTTCAAACCAAATCTAAAATAAATTAAACACCGTAAAAGTGGTTTATCCCAAACCAAATATAAAATAAATTAAAACAGCATAAAAGTCAAAAATAACATAATATATTATTTATCCAAATATAATAATTTCAACTTCACACAAGTTAAATAAATTCATTTAGGATTAAGTAATTAATACCTTTGAAAAAAGAATGATTTAGACTATTTAGTTTAGTTAGATAAAATAATTTTTATGTTTATTAAATTATTTTTAATTCGTAAACGGGTCATATTGGGTCATATCAGGTCACCATGGGTTGACCCGAAATCGACCTGTTTTCTTTTCGGATTCATCGGGTTCGATCCGATTCTGACCTGAATCCCCGAAACCTCAATCCAAACCCATTAATTTCGTGTTAGGTTCGTGTCGTATTTTCGAGTCGTATCAGGAATTGTCACTCCTACTCCAAACCATGTCAATCCATATCTCCCCAAATCCAAAGGCTCTCAAAACTATCGTAAAAAATAGCCATGACATGCAATTGTAAACTATGGACATGTTAAGCTTTAAAGCTATATTTCCACTATTTGCCCTTTTACCAATTCCAGCCATAAGCTCCTGTACGAGTAAAAAATTATCCAAAATGAGGCGACCATATACAGACCCACTTTGCTGTGGTGAAATGATTTTTGGAAGTACAGCAGCAAGCCTATCGGCCAGTACTCTAGAGAAAATCTTGTTGAAAAAATTACACAAGTTGATTGGACGAAATTGCAAAAAGTCGTGAGGCTGGTCCACCTTTGGAATTAGCATAATTGAAGTAGCTGTGATAGCTTTCGGTAGTTCTGCACCACAAAAGAAACTAAGCACCACCTTGAAAACATCTTCACTAATTATTTGCCAAGCAAATTTAAAAAATCGACTCGTATATCTATCCGGGCCAGGCGTGCTTTCACCATCCATGTCAAACATCACACGACGGACCTCCTCCTTTCTTGGTAGTGCCTCCAACATCTCATTATCCTCCCTTGACACGAGCTTAGGAATAGACTCTAACAAACTCAAAGGAGAAATGGGCTTCAAGTCCGTGAACAGCATTTCAAAGAATTGAGCAGCCGCCTCCCCTATCCTAGCCTCAGAATCCACCCAATGTCTTCCCTCATCCTTTATTTTGTGAATCCCTGACTATAGTCTCCATTGTTTAACCACCGAATGGAAGAACTTGGTATTCCAATTCCCTTCCTAAATCCATCGTACTCGGCGCTTTTTGCTTCCAAAACTACTCTTCTATACACAATACATTACGTAGCCTCGTTTGAGCTAAATGCAACTCTGCTTGTACCTCGTCCGAATCATCCTCCTCCATTCTAGCTTCAGCAAGTCTCACCTCCTCTTCCTTCTGTTTCACAACCTGGAAAATGTCCCCAAAAACCTCTTTATTCAACCATTGAATATCACACCTAAACCGTTTCAATTTAAGACAAAGAACCCGTATTGGTAACCCCACACGGGGTTGCATCCAAGAATCATTAATAACCTGTAAAAAATCTTCCTGCGACATCCACAAGTTTAAAAACCTGAAAGGATGTGGCTTATCATCCAATCTTGTAGTCACAGAAATTAAAAGCGGGGCATGATCAAACGGTTCTCGAGCTAGATGCGAGACCGAGAACAGGAGACCTAAGTCGTAACATGCCTCATTAACCAATACCCTATCTAACCTCTTCCAAATTCTCACAGGACCATGACGGTTGTTCCACCATGTGTAATGTGCTCCAAACAATCCTACGTCAAGAAGATTTGTTTCACCCAAGAATTGCAAGAACTCTACTGCCTCAGAAGGATTGAAAGGCTTACGACCTCTTTTCTCGTGAGCCTTTGTTACTACATTAAAATCCCCTCCAACAAGCCACGCACCCATGCCTGGATTATCTTGTAGTAAACCCTCCCATAGTCCCTCTCCTTTAAAAGCAGTACATCTGGCATGCACAAAAGACAAAGTGACAGAGACCAGCAATTGAAAGTGGGAAAACTCGACCGATAAATGCTGCGAACACTCTCCAACTACCACTACTGCAAAGCTATCCTGATAAAATAACCAAGTTGATCCAGCAGAATTACACATAAGATTACTGAAATTCAAACGGCGACGATACTGTTCAGCCTTCTCCACCGATAACGGGGGTCACATATTGCTAAAATTTGAACTCAATGCAACTGAATTAACTTTTTAAGTCTTCCAAAATTGGGGTGTTTTGATATTCCGTGAATGTTCCAAAATAGCCCATTAATCATTGGACAAAATCTAGAAAGAATTCTGCAAATTAATTGAGGCCAAATGTAATTGTCTATTAGAAAGGAATTTTGCTTGGATACCCTTGGACTTGCCGGCTTTGACATCCCATCAAGAATTCCTACTGCCGAAGAGTTCAGCTCCCTGGTTTTGTTTACAGAATGCAGAGGAGAGACATTCCTAACCTAGTCACCCTCCTTCTCAACACTAGACTCCGATTCATCATCACTACACCGTCGCATTACAGGCTCCATCGACGGCACTGCTGGATTTGTAGAAGCCGAATTAACATTGTTTATGGGAGCAAAACCAGATGCAACAGCCCCCTAATGATCTGCAACAACTACATGTGCAGTACCTGTAGCACTCGTAAAGAAACCTCCTTCAACTTTTCCGTGACCTGACCATCCAAACCCAAATGATTTTTGTCGCGCCCCACTTTTTGAATGATGTGAATGAAAGTAGTGTGTGGAATATGTATGTGAACGTGTGTGAAAATAAAAAGCCGTGGGACTTGAAAATGCGACGATTTGGCCAAACAAAGTTCAAAAAGGGTTTTTGAATGAAAAATGGAGTCGCCACTTGGTATAGAGTTAGGGTGTACCAAGTCACCCAAAAAGTGATTTTTTGAAAAAAGTAAACAAACCCTTTTTAAAGAACTTTTAGGTCTACGTAACCAAAGAAAGGGATCGGGGGTCACGTTTGATAAGGGAGAAGGCAAAGGCAAAGCCTAAGGCACTCCCTTACCCTAGCCAAAGCTAGTTGCGTGACTTAGCCCTTCTTTTCCTAATTTTTCTACCCAAAGTATGCATTGCATGTTGGACATGACTAATGGATATGAAAAAGAAATGCAATCCTAAACCTAAAATGTCTCTTACGAGGCTTTTTGGTCCCAACCACATGAGTTGTGGTGGCCAATAAGGAAAGTCCTCATAGAGGTCACGAATGATGCAAATGAAGACTCAAACATGAGTGCAAGTGTGAAAATGTAAGAAAACGTGCATGTGTGCGAATGTAAGACAAGTGCATGTGTGCAAATTAGAAAAATAAAGGTGTTTGTATGCAAATGGATGAAAATATAATAGTAGATGCATATAAGTGCAATTGGGTGCAATTTGTGAGGTAGCAAATAAATGATAAAAGAAGAATGTGCAAACATGGCATGTGGACTGAGAAAAATATAATTTGTGAGAAAATGTGGATAAAAGAGTGAGGAAGTGATATGATGAGAATGAAAGTGTATGAACCTATAGGAATGCACCAAGTCGGGTACGGGAATGACTCCTAACTTCACGACTTTAATTTTCCCTTTGATTAGAAGGAAGAACTAGCGTGCTAAGGCTATTTTGTAGCCACACTCGCTCGTTTCCCTTATCGAAAGGGGACCCTCAAGCAAATGTACCCTATAACTAGCATGAAGATGCAAAAGCCTAAAATGAAGGGGAAAGGGTTGGAGGGGCGTGCCAAATGCTAAAAAGCTAAGAAAATGCATGAAATGTAGTGAAACATGCAAGTATGTACTAACAAGAGGGGACGGCCTATTGGGTCTAGCATTGGACTAGCTCATATCTATGAATTCCTACTAGCGTTGGACTAGTGGAAAACGGGACAATGAGCCACAACTAGCGTTGGACTAGTGTGGTGACGTGCATTCATCCATCATATTCATCTATGACTATAGAGAGCAAGTAGACATGCCAATCACATATAAACACATAGCACATAACACTTAGCATGCTCGACTAGATGCAAGAGCCTAATAAAGCAAATTAACACGTAGCAACAAAGGCAAGCAATCAAGCTAATGAACCTATTACATTCGCTAACTAAAACAAAAGGGGAAGGGGAAAAATGGACAAAATGCTCTCCAAGCCCTATCTATTACAAGCCAAGAGGTGTACACATACCCCATAAAAGAATAACTTAATAAAAGCAAAAGTAAATGACATAAATGAAAGGAATTAAGGAAAAGCAAGGAAAGCAAAGTAAAAATGCAATTCTCATTTAGCACGTTGGATCACATAGGGGAGAGACAAAAAGATAAAAGAAGTTATACCTCCCTCGAAATGGAGCTCTAATGGGGTGGAGTCGCTTATTTATCCTCCAAAATAAAAGAAAAGGTCAAGGTACCAAATTATTTGGGAAAATTAAAGAGAATAGGTAAACACAAGCTCACTTGGACGCAAAGTTCTTAAACTCGTGCATTAATTGCAATCTAAACAAAGCATGATAATTAATTGAAGCGAACAAGCAATGAAGTTGTAAAATTAAAACTACCAAGGACCAAATTGAGGAGATTATCTAATTGAATGGGTTATAGCAGCATGAGTTAGAAGGCAAGGGGTCAAAGTGCAATTTTGGGAAAGTTATTTCATGCAATCTTCATGCAAGAACGTGAGAAACATTCTGCAATCAATTTTCAGCAAGCTATGAAGACCATGAACCTCTATGACTTTCTTTGTTCATCCGAGACAACTTTCATGCAAAGTAGCTCAAATGAATCCTATCCCTTCCTCCACAAAATGCGAGAGCTCAAGACCAAACGGAAAGAAAAGTTCCCAACAATCTCCCGAACACAAAATGCAATGAAATTACCTGATCACTTGCTCAACTTCAACCCAGAATTTCAGAAAGACAAAGCAACAAAACCTTGCAAAAGAATGTTCATGAAGGAAAACTAACGGGACTTTTGTCCCTGAGCTCCCATCAAGGAGGTTATACCACAGCTTTAATATCAGGCCACAAGATTTAGCATGGCAGATAGCAAAAAAAAAAAAAAAAGAACAGGAGAAGTGCTAAAACTCAAGTTTCTTGTGCCATTCTGGTTTAAGCACACTCTTACAGAGGAAAAACATTTCTATCATTTACCCATACCCAAACATCGAACTCCAAAGCAAAAACAAAACTACAAACTGAGGCATTGCTATGACCCGGACGGCAGATCATTGTCCACAAAATCAATTAGCACAAACGGATCTTCACAATGCCAAAGAACCTATAGCTGCAACCAAAAAGACTTGCCATGTTGCAGCCTGAAGTTGTCGCCCCAGTCGCTGCTTCAGATTGCAGCAAATACGCAGGCGGCCTCACTCAGGACAGTAAGCAAATTCAAAAGAAGATTTTGGCCAGGCAAGAACCTCAGCCAGCAATTTTGAGCTTCATTAACGCTGCTGCAACAAGCCGAAAGCTTCGAGCTTGTTGCACCAGATTTCTTTTTATGCGCAAAAACCAGTTAAACACCATTTGAGTTCTGCCAACAGAATCCTCAAACAATCTGCAAACTTTGCAAACGTAAAACCTTTGGTTTAAAGCACGAAATTTAGAAACAAACATGCAAACTTCCGGCAAGAATTTTCTGCATTTTCTGGGTTTTCATCCGAAGCATATTTCAAGCCAACGAGATTACGCGACTTACACTTTTCCACTTGCCAAACTTAAATGCTCAAAATTCACAAAACATAAAGGAGAGTAACAACAAGAGGATCAAGGAGATCAAACATGGCAAAGCTGTGGAACAAACTTAACAAACCAGCGACAAAAGAAGTTCGACAGTTCATGCCTGATAGACTCTGACTTTTGTAAAAAGAATCTGTTAAATAGACCCAAACAGGGGAAGAGACTACCTGAGGAAGGCTTTGTGGTCGGTTGCTCAGGCAACGCACGCTAAGTCCAGAAACAAAGTTGAGAGCTTCATCGCCGAAATCGCTGCCTTGGCGAGCAGGCTGCTTCGAGCAGCCATTCGTGTGTCTTCCCGGCATTATTTTGCAAACATCCTTGAACAAAAGTTCAAGATCTGACTCAGTAGATATTCCAGATCACCTAAATTCTCCAATAAGGAGCCGGTTCCTTAGGGAAAATTGCCTCCAAAGGCATCTAAAAAATCAGCATGAATAGCAGATTTTCTGGAAGATGTTTTCTTCCCGCTGCTGCTCTTTCCTCTCGCTTCCTCAGCTTTTCTGCGTAGCTCCCTGATTCCTCTCCCGAGCTCTTATCTTATTCTGCCCGTAACCTTTCTTGCTCTCCCACCTCTCCTTGGTTTTTCTCTTTTTTCTCTCTAAGCTGTCTTTTCCACTCTCAAAACCTAGCCGACCCGATTCTATTTGCTATCCTCAGCAGTCCTCTCCTGTTTTCCTTATTGTCCTCCCCCTTATCTCAGTCCTCAAGACCTTTTGCTTTCAGCCGTCTCCCCTCCTATCTCAAAAACTCGCCGTCATCCCCCCCCAGCCGTCATGGCTTTCTCTCAGCTTCTTTCTTTCCGCCGCCCTCAAAACTCTCCAGCCATCCTGAAACTCTCCCTCTTGCTTTCTGGTCCCTCTTTTGCTCTCCGTTGTTGACTCCTCTCTAAATCCCTAGCCTCTGTCTCCCTCTTTCACTCTGTTTTTTTTTCCAGCCGTAAGCCCTTTTCAGAAACCCCCCGTAGCTCTCCTCTCTATTGCCGTCTCTTTTTTTTCCAAACCTCTCTATCTCTCCCCGATCCCCCTCCTCCTTTGCGGTTGCTGTTCTTTCTTGTATTTATACCAGACCAACCCTCACCTCAAGGGTGAGGATGGAAGAGGAGATTCCTCTCCAACCCCAGGCCATCCGATGGGCATGCGCGATTGTCCTTGCAAGCTGCGTTTCCGCAGCATGCATGTAAATTTTTTTTTTTTTTTTTTAAAAGTTAACAAACTTGATAATAAAATTAAGTAAAAAAACAAAAATTTAATTAACATTGGATAAAAATAAACAAACTAGAAATAATAAACAGCAAAGTTGCAATTTTTCATTTTTCCTTTCTTTTTTCTTTATTTTTCATTTTTTTCATCTTTTTTCTCTTTCTTCAAGAAAACATTGAATTTAAAAAAAAACAACTAAATCATTTTTTTTTCTTTTTGAATGCTTTTCCTTTTTCTTTTTCTTTTTCCTCTTTTCTTTTCTTTTCCGAGGAATTCTATGCTAAAAACTTACAAATAAAAATAATAAATAAAAACTAAAAAAAACTAAAAACTAAAAAGTGAATAAAACTTAACACGACAAATAAAAAATTAAGACAAAAATAGTAAATGCGAATTACACTAAAATTTTAGTGTCTACAATTTTCATGACTAAGACTATCTTGAGGAGTTGGGTTCACATTCTGCAACCCATTATCTGGTACCTCCAGATTCCCATTATCCATGGTTCTAGAAGTGGGGACAACAACCCCACATTCCTTGTTCTCCTGCTTGTCTCCCCTTTCCACACGCGCACTACATGTAATGCTGATGTCTCCACCATCCTTAGTCACGATATTGACCTGACCTATAGGATCCTCCTCCACCCCCAAACCTGATGCATTAGCAGCTTTGCCACCTACTATCAATCCCTCTTGTGCTTGGTCAGTCATAGCCATTGGTAATTCTTTAATAGAGTCAATCGCTTGCCCAATAGCTTGATTGGTCGGCCTATACATAGTCCGTACCGCCTGCGAAGCTCCCTTTCCATGATCCACCTTCTCTCCTTTAGGCTCAATCGAACCCACTTGCTTTCCCATTCGATGTTCGCTTTTCATCAAATTACTCCTCATTAGCGTGGCCCAGACGCCAGCAATGAGAACAATACTTTGGTAAATTTTCAATCACAAACTGCTGCCAAAAACCAGTAGCTTCACCTGCCAAGCCCACCCAAACCCGTTAGGGCATAGTACGTAAGACGTCAATTTCCACACACACACGAGCAACACTTAGTCTAGTTAACGAAGTGGTAGCTCCATCAAAATATAACGGCCGTCCAATCACACTAACAATTGACAACAGACTATGTTTATCAAAAATGCGAATGGGTAAAGAAGGCAGCGAAACCCAAATGGGAGCAAGGGATGATTCGCACTGCACATGAAATTCTGGTGTCCAACAAAAGACCCTCATAGGATACCACCCAATCTGCCATAGCCCCCTTGTCCAAACCTGAAGAAAATCTACTTCATTGACAAACCTCATGAGCACATGGCATGCATCCAAGTGCCCAACTGTGACAAAATTTTTCAAGTCTAGCGTTGCAAAGAACTTGTGGATCTCCTCCACTTTTGGCCTACCATGAGAGAATTTACCCACAACCGAGAACTTACATGGAATTGATAGCTTTGCAATATCAACCCTTGTAAAGAAAATTGCAGGTTCACCCTTATGAGTTGTTGGAGTCTTGATCTCAATCGAAGAAGGGACAGAATTCGAAAACAGCAACGAGAACGACTTCTTTGCTGGTGAAGGAGGCTGCCCCTCAGCCCTAGGCTGAGGGGCCTCCATGCACGAAAGCCTAAAGAGCAAGAGGTAACCCTAGAGCGTGAGAGAAAATATTGTTGAATATTTTATTGTAATATTTACTCTTTAAAGGCACAAGTCTTGGTACCTCTTTACTTTCTTTATAGTTTCATTAATACTTAGTTACATTGAAGATTTGAGATTTATTCTTAATTCTTCTATATCTACCTAAATCTTCTTGTTCTAGGGATAGATGCAACTATTCGTACATTGATTATGGTTGAATAAAATTGATTATTGCTATATCTTGTACTTGCTAGTTCATCTATTTTTGCTTCAACACTTGTGAATACTTGATCACCATTTGCAAGCCATGATAGTTATTAATTTATGAAAATAGTTGACAATGACGAAAATGGAATAGGTGAAACTTAAGGAGTAGGCATATAAAAGTAGTAGTACACTTAAATGGATGTTTTTGGCATTTCTCGATTTAGATTAAATCTTTACTTGTGATATCACCATGAAAGGAAGGAAACTATAGTATTGGTTAGATTCTGTTCATTGGCGAGAGTGAGTTCCGATGGTTCGAGTAAAATGCATCATTAGCAAGACAAGTGCATTAGTGATAATTGATATTTCATCCATAGTTAGGTACATTTAATGGATTCTATACCCTAAGACATTTGTTTTTAGTTTAATTTCTTCAAGTTATTAATTTTTTTTTTTTGCATTGTTTTAGCATTGTGGTTATTTTATTTTGTTAAAATTCTTGATTAGTTTAGATAATACAATGAGCTAAAAGCCTTTGTAGTTGGAAGTGATGCTCTTGACATTGATCATAAGTCCCTAATACAACAAGGCACGACTTGTATACTTGTAGTAAATGAGTGAATTTGGTTAAAATCTAGGATATAGGTTAGAAACTCGTCAATATAATTTCCTTGGAGACAAGATAGGAGATGTAGACCCCACAATAAATTGTTAGTAAAGAAAGCTTTGACTAGAAGGAACATTTTTATCTTGGTGGGCAGAGTTGCTCTGGCACCCATATAATGTGCTCTCACAACAATACTACCCATAATATAAGCATTGGCTCAATAAATATATACGCTAGTATAACAACAATACACTTGAATACCAATTCCAAGACAACAATAATTATCTGTTATGTTTGGGAATTGTATTTCATAGTTAACAATAATCATTAAAGTTGAGAAAAACTCAATCCTTCCCTTAATTTCATGCCACAATAAAACCCACTGTTATTGGGTTGGTTCCTCTTTATCACCCCATAAGTAAGGATATGAATTTTACAAAATCTAGGTCACAAAAGAAGCATCCAACTTGGATCATTCGGAAACACATAAAACAAATTGACAAAAACAAAAAGAAGAAACACATAAAGCAAAGGGTCTAGTACCATGTCACAAGTTACGCCAAAATAATTTAAGGGGAAACCAATTTGGACACAAATTCGTCAATGTTTTTGTCAGAGGTCCCACCCTCATCAACTGCATCCCTTGTCAATTCCACCCATTTCTTGGCATTTCTAGTAATCTCCTCTCCTCTCTCTCCCTCCATGACTTGTCTAATGCAGTTCTCTATCTCTTCTTTTGTCACTATCCCCTTCTCATCTGGTTCAGCTTTGACTCCCATTTTCCAAACATCCGTCGCATACTTAGCATTGGTGGGTTGGTCTGTCCATTGTGGCATTCCAACCATTGGAACACCCAAACTTAGTGCCTCCAAAGTTGAGTTCCATCCACAGTGCGTGACAAAACAACCAATAGATTTGTCTGCTAAAACTTCCAGCTGCGGGCACCATGAAACTATCAATCCTTTCTCTGATGTTTCGTTAATGAAATCTTTTGGCAGTTTTGATTCCTCTGAAGCTCTTACTACCCACAAGAAATATTTCCCTGTCATTTTTAATCCCCATGCCAACTCTGCCATTCCCTCGGCATCAAGTGAGGCTAGACTTCCAAACGAGACATAAACTACAGATTTGCTTGCTTTTCCCTCCAACCATTTTGTGCAAGCTTGAAGACGTTGAGACCATAATCCTTGTCGTCTTGGACCCTCTTGTCTAAGTACATGGAAGGTACTGTTGGTCCAATTGGCCTCACTGGCCACAGTCCCTTCATCCAGTCAATGACCTATATAGAACATGAATCAGTGAAGTTAATTAGTTAACAGACTACATTATCCTTCTGCATAAGCTGCATAAATCTTGATTTTCTTGCGTACCTAAAGTATAAGATGGTCAGGAACACTCAGGATATAGAAAATAGTGAAACAGTTAAAGAAATGGGCTAGGAAATATTTTTGCAAACCTCTTCTTCCAACTTGTAAAACGTGTTGAAAAGTACCCAGTCTGCTGTATCAATATCGATGAACTGATTTCTAATCATTTCAACAATTGCTGGGTAAGTTTCAGGCTTGGTAACAAAGGAGGGCAAATCAGCAGGCTCAAGATCAGGTAATCCAGGAATTGCGATTCTAGTCTCTTCAACAGGAACCTTTACAATCCCTTTATAAACATGGTAGTAAATGTTGTCTACAGCGCACGATTGGGTGAAGAAAGCAGCTCCAAAGACTCCATTCTTCTTGGCAACATCAAGATCCCACGGAAGAACTGCATCATAGACAACGCAATCAACTGGAGAACCTGAATCCCGAAGCTTTTCAAGCAGCTCTCCTAAAGTTTCTGAACCAACCTGTTGGAACTTTATTAAGTAGGCTTCAATACTCTCAGCCTGATTCGCTCCTCCTTCATCAAATCCATCCGAGATCATTCCTAACGGAAATAAACTCGTAGCATCTTTTATGCGATTGAAGAAGGAAATTGTAGCTGCAATTGTGATTCTAACTCCCTTAAACTGTAAACGCTTAGAGAATTGTAGGAGAGGGTTTACATGGCCTTGAAGTGGGTATGGTAATATCAAGCAGTGGCCTCTGTGAGCTTTTTGAGCTCCCATTCCATTTTCCATGTTATATGACCCTCGGCCTCTTGAGTTTTGCCATCTGAGCTTGGAGGTTCATTTATACATGAATTTGGTGTGCATGTTACAATTGAATTTGTCTTTTTGAACTATTGTTTAATACCTTTGTATTTTGAATAAGTGCTGAAAAATCCAACTTCTTGGACTTTTAATACTTGTACAAATATGCAAACGATGCCGGTCTAGGCGAGCAGCCAAATTCAATTTGTGTTTTTGAACTTATTATTTAATCCTTAGGCTTGTAGAAATTTGGGAAGGGTTGAAATAGTCATATCATATTAGGTACAGAGTCCTTCCGGGTGTACAGATAAGTGTGTCTCGAGTTTAAGGGGTAATTTTAGAAACCTTCTCTAAGGTTTCTGACAATATCACTAGCCTCCCCTGAACTTGAAAAAAAATTCATTTGCCACCCTTAATTCTAGCTTCTGTGTAACATTTCAACCCATGTCATAAAATATAAGATTAAAAAACTAGTTTCAAGAGAGAAAAAGGTTTTCATGCCACAAGTGCCCCTCTATAGTCATACTTGTCAAATTATAACAATTTTGTATAGAAATAAAAAGTTGGGAAATAGAGACAAGATGCAAATAACATTCTCTCAAAAATATTAGTGCCAAATATTAGCATATTCAATAAGAATCTGTGTGTTGCTTTATCAAGATGCAAAAGTATTTATTTCAAGGTTTCTAAGTGCATATTTACTGACAAAAGAAAAGAAAAAACAAAACTTTCAATTTTTACCTCTAATATTATGCACAAAATTACCTATTTAGAGAGGAAAAACAGTCTTAAAACTTTTCCACCTTTGTAGTAGCACTAGATTTATTTTTTGCTCATAAAAAAAATAAAACTTTCAAAAGCTCTAAATGAAAGCTCATAAAAACATTAGGCTATGTGTGTGTGTATATAAAGTTCATATTTGTTTTAAATAAATCACAATTAGAAAATATGCCTTTAAATGCCTAAAGTTGGTGCCAAATTTTATGATGACAATTTTACTTTCTTTTTGTTTTTAGACTTTAAACAAGGATCAAATTTAAGTTTTGTCGAAGCATACAGCTAATAATCAACATTTAAATTGGCACTAAATGTTGGTGACCTTTGTTTGTTAATAAGGACATCTATTTTCTTTTTATTTTTCTAATTGTAAAAGTAGGGGAAAGGCCAATACTTTTTTGCCAAAGTCTGTTTACAATAGTCCCTAATAAAATTGGAATGATATAGAAAAGATTAGTATGGCTCCTGTTGAAGGATGGTTAACCACAAAGAATAAGGATTGAACAGTCAAT